TAAATATTTGGGGGTCTTTCTTCTTAAGGGCCGAAAAAGACGGATACAGTTTGATGAGGTTGTAGAGAAGATTCAGAAAAGAATCTTGGATTGGAAAAATAATTTCCTATCCTTTGGAGGCCGTATTACACTCCTTAGGAGTATCCTTCATTCCCTTCCACTATACACTCTTCAAGTGCTCCAACCCAAAAAAAGTACTATTTTGAATCTTGAAAGATGCTTTTATAAGTTTCTTTGGTTGGGAAATCACTCCGGTAGAAGATGGCTTCCTTGGAAGGATGTTTGCAAACTTTTTAGCCCTGGGGGTTTGGGTTTCAAATCCTTCCAACATATCGCTGGATTATTGGGGATGAGGACATTGGGGAGAATGCTGTTCTGTACTTTTCTAAATTATTTGAGTATCATGAGACTTCAGGCTCTGTTGATGCCTCTTTATTTGATGATGTTCATCATCATATGGGGAATATTGATCTTTGTGGCATTCCTACGGCTGAGGAAGTTTACTCTACCCTGCATGACATTAACTGTAATAAAGCTCAGAGACCTGATGGTTTCATTTCTGCTTTCTATATTAAATGATGGACTATTGTTAAGGATCATGTGGTTTCGGCTGTCCAAAGTTTCTTTAAAGGGGAAACCCTTGGGAATTATTTCTCTGCTGCTACTATAGTTCTCATCCGTAAGAATACCCAAAAAAGCTCGTGGGATCATTTCAGACCAATCTCTTTAACTTCTGTGATTTCTAAGGTGATTAGAAAGATTTTGGTCAAATGCCTGCAACCCCACCTCCACAATTTAATCTCTTTGAATCAATCTGCTTTTATTCAGGGGAGGGGGATTACTGATAATATTATGCTGGCTCAGGAGCTTATTCTTGATATTGATAAAAAATGTAGAGGTGGCAACATGATTACTAAACTGGACATTCGCAAGGCTTATGATACTATTAGCTGGGAGTTTATTTTGAATATTCTTAAAGCCCATGGTTTTTCTCAGGAGTTTGGCTTCATTACAACAAGTACAGCATTCTTATTAATGGCCACGCTTGTGGTTTTTTTAGTCCGGGGTCATGGGAGTAAACAGGGTGATCACTTCAGGTTGATTCGTTATCCCCGATCATTTTTATTCTCATTTTTTATTATCTCTCTAGAATGCTTAATAACATTTTCAGGTAGAATCCAAAGCTGCAATATTCTCATAAGTCTTATATGATGGTATCTCACTTAGCCTATGCGGATGATGGATGATATGATTCTTTTCTCTAATGCAAGCAAGTCCACAGTGAAGGAGATTCATAAGTTAATGGTTGAATTTCAATCTATTTCCAACCTCTCTTTTAATGCTAGTAAATGCAACATTTATTTGGGGAACACGATTAATCATTCTAATACTTCCTGGATTGCCAATTATACGGGTTTCTCCCTCTCTACCCTTCCACTTAAATATTTGGGGGTCTTTCTTCTTAAGGGCCGAAAAAGACGGATACAGTTTGATGAGGTTGTAGAGAAGATTCAGAAAAGAATCTTGGATTGGAAAAATAATTTCCTATCCTTTGGAGGCCGTATTACACTCCTTAGGAGTATCCTTCATTCCCTTCCACTATACACTCTTCAAGTGCTCCAACCCAAAAAAAGTACTATTTTGAATCTTGAAAGATGCTTTTATAAGTTTCTTTGGTTGGGAAATCACTCCGGTAGAAGATGGCTTCCTTGGAAGGATGTTTGCAAACTTTTTAGCCCTGGGGGTTTGGGTTTCAAATCCTTCCAACATATCGCTGATATTAATGTCTTTAAGCAATGGTTTAATTTTAGGAAAAATGAGTCCGTATGGGCCAATTTCAATCATGGGAAATATTGCCGATTCTCTCATCCTGCTTTGATCACTTGGAGGCTCGGTAACTCCACCATGTGGAAGAGACTGCTTTTAGTTAGGAATTGGGCGAAGAATTTCATATTTTGGGATGTGGGTTCTGGAAATCTCTTCTTCTGGCAGGACTGTTGGTCACATGTCTCTCTTCAGTTGAGGGATACTACGTTTTCCAATCTCAAAGTGTCTGACACTTGGGTTGATGGTCATTGGAATCTTCCTCTTCTTACTACCTTATTGGGGATGGAGGGAGCCACCTACATTTCCAACATTCCTATTGCTCCTCGTATGCATGATATTCCTATTTTGAAATTACCTTTGGCTAGCTCTATTACCAAATATATTTATGTTTCTCGGTATAGCTTTCATAACACCCCTTGGGGTCAAGATGTGTGGAGTTGTGCTTTAACTTCGTCAATGTCTTTTTTGGCTTGGCGTATTTTTCACTTAACTTTACCTTGCGATGACA